TATTATTCTATTATATAATTTGTCACCTTCACATTCATATTGTAGAATCCAGATTCAGTATTATATGAATTGTTGACTAACAGATTCCCTCCTTCATCCCTTTCCATAGTCTGTTTTCCAGGAGAAAATAAGCTTGTTGAGGGCAGGGGCTATGTATTATTTTATCTTCTCATTGCAAGTACCCAACATACTGTTTACAAATATTCTTCTCCAGGCTGTACTCCGAGCTTCTTTTAACATGTCCCAGAAACTTCTTTATTGTGACACTTACTCCAGCCCTGGAATTCACACATCAGAAGTATTCTCTGTCCCTCCAAATGAGGCAGTTTGTTTTAGTGCCCTTTGGAGTCAGAAACACTTGGCTGGTGTCTGTATCTTGCCTCTGCTATTCATTAACTCTCTCACTTAACTTCTCAACTTCAGCAAAATGGTAGTAATATTTGTCCTCCCAGACTCGTGGAGATGTTGGGAGATCAGCACCTAGTAAACTTTGTGTAAGCATTAATAAAGATCATAAAACAATAAAATGATATGTTTCTGTATGGATGGGGAAAATGCATTGCTTTCAGGCATTTCAGGGGATGAGCTATCATGCATTAACAAGAATTCTAGCATTCTGAGATACAGATGCACTTGCCACTACAATGAAAGAATAATGCTGCATGATTAATGGGAATGCTATGCCTTCTACAATAGCTGGATGTAATTCATTTAGCAAGCATTTGTTAATCTCCTGATATGTATGGAAGGGGTGTGCAATAATTTATTAAGTACCTATTAAGTGAAGGACCCTGTGCTAAGTGCTTTATACATATTATCTCATTCGATCCTCACAACAACCCCATTCTATTAGGAGAAGGAGGAAGGGAATAAACATTTATATAATACCTACTATGTGCCAGGAACTGCCCTAAACACTTTTTACATTCCAAATGTACTAAAATGCCCCAGTGGCATAAATAGCACATCATTAGCAATCTGGTAATTATTGAACAAGACACAGTAACATTTTTGCTGCCTTTATTGATTATCTTAAAGACTGTGACTCAGTTTTGAACTCATGGTTTATTTATACAACTGGGGCACTTTGGCACATTCTTTTTGCTCCATGGTAAACATATATATTCCTCATCTTTATAGATTTTTATTTTAGTGATATAAACTGTGAATGTGGTATGAAGTACAGAAGTATGTAATTGGCTGATATTTGGAGTTATTGGTGTTCTCATATTTTTTGGTAGATAAGTGATACATTCTGTTAAGAAAGTTGGCATCAGGCTTGAACTGGAGAGGAATCTTGTTAAATTATTTTGGATTTATGGGATATGTTAAAGCATATGAGTGAAAAAATATGACTCTTATCAGCTCTGAGACTTTCCAGTTTTGAGAAAAGTTAGCTTCAGTCACCTCCCTTAACTAGTTTGTAGTTTGTTATATAAAGGATGTATAACTATCTGTTCCACAATTGAACCAACTTATGTTTTCATTGGTTTATACTTCTTGTGGCCATAGAGATGACTAGACAGTTTCCTCATTCTCCTTCTTTGGGCATTCTCCCCCCCTTTCTGCTTTTTTTTTTCTTAAGCCATTGTAGTAAGTTTTTGATTGATACTGAACTATTTATTTATTTTTTTACTGATTTGACTTATTGTTATAGATTTGAATTTTGGCTTTTGTTTTTAATTAGTGATTAAAGAAATCTAGAATTCCTAATATAATCTTGATTTCTGGATCTCTCCTCTCACGCTACTTTTTATTGCTTTTAATTGGTTTTTCAGGTTTTCTATTGCACATAACAGCTACATATTGACATATTTGTCTAATGCTGTTGTTCTTAACCTTTTCTTATTGTATTACTTGGAACTAAGAGTACTATTGACAGAAAGTAGTATAAAGTCCTTGCACATTATGGTTAAGAGCTGTTTCAAGTTTTGTTATGATGAAGTATTGACACTTAAGGTGATTTTTCATCTCTTCAGTCCATTTCATTGTGGATTTTCTGTATTTAGAGGATTAGTAGGAAGCAACATCTGCTGCCAGCAGTATCTGGCACTATTGGCATTTTTGATTTGTTCTAGTGTATCTGGCTCTCTCTCTCAATCTAGAACATGAGGAAATGTCTGCTTGTTCTGTTGACCTCGGTGCCAAGTTATGAGCATAGTGGTTCTCAGTAAAGTCTTTCCTCTTCTATTTCTCTGACTCTTGGGAACATTTCCATTAAACTGACCAGGGTAATAACTCAGCCATTGACCAAAAGCCTCAGTGACAGCTATTGACCTTTAGTACTGCCTACAGTTGGAGAGAAGAGAAACTGCTCATAAATGCCTCTTGCCCTGTATTTCCACCTCTGGTTGGAAAAGGAAAAACAGAGAGCTTTGCAGCTGCTTTGTACCCTGGTGAATTTCCTTGCCTGACTTAAAGAGTCAATAAGAGCTGTGTTCCTAGGAGTTCTGTTCTGAATGGGTAGTGGATTCTCTGGATGAGTAAATGACTGGCTCTATTAGACTGTATGTATAACTCAAAGAGAGTCAGTTTGATAAAAATTTCCAATTCTCTTATTTAAAGGGAACTGTTCCAGAGGAAACATTTTCTAAACATTTATTCAAGAATATTCTAAGTTGAAGGAGCTTGCAGGTATTAGAGTAAAAGAGAAGATTTCCTCAACTGAAGGGGACCAAAAGACAAGAAAATAAGAAGAGACCGTGGTTTCTTGAGCAGACATTCCTGAATGGGCCAGTGACACCAAAGCATATATGCCAGAGATGTAAATTATCATAAGCATATGGGCTTTCTTCCCTTTCTTCTCTGACAGGTGCCTGTACACCCCCACAGATACCGAGTATATCGCTGTGACCACATATGAATTCAGATGTATTTTATTTTATATATACATTTGCTTTAATATGTGAGTATCAATAACATTTTTATTTCTTCTGCACTATTGCTAAAGAAATGGTTATTTTTTAAAAAATTTATAAGTTTTTATGAATCTCTGGTTGTGGGAAAAAAAGGAAGAATATTATTGGAGACCCAAAAATCAGAATGGTAAATATATATGTGTCCCCTCAACAGTGTTACTTCTAGGACTCTGAGAGACTTAAATGTAACCATGTATAGCCTATTTCTGGGCATCCATATTTATCAGAGTAAGGTTAGGGTGGGTTGATTCACTTAAGGAGTGAGTAAGTATTAGCATGTCCCATGTAAGGAGTGATCTATTGCGTTAAATTAGTGGGTAATTATACTACGCCACGTGACTCCAGTCTTGCCACTGGTGATACACTTCCTTAAACCTTTTTTAGAGTGTCTATTCAACTTCTAAGTCATTGGACTAATATGACAAAAAGTACTTCACATCTCCCCCAGTTCATATCCATCTAAATGACCTCATGTGACATTTTTGTCTGTCTCTAGAAATTCTGATGTGTCCTTGGGTGGAGGAGACTAGGGGTGAAGATCTGTTTTGATGGCTGAAGAGCAGGGATCTCTGAGGTCATCTGGAACCTGCATAGAATCAAAGCTGAATCCCTGGGGTTGGCATAAGAGTAGCCTTATGGATCTTCTAGGATGAACACTTAATCTGGGGTCCATGAAGTTTGAAAAATATTTTGAGAACTATTTCAATATAATTGTTTTTCTTTGTGATCCTATGTATTTTATTTTATGTATTTAAGAACATATCCTGAGATAGGGTCCATAGGCTTCAGACTACCAAAGGAGTTTATGATACAAAAAATAGTTAAGAACCCTTGCCCTATCATGAAGGAATACTGTAGGGATGACTCCCCTATAAAGCTGCCCTTAAGTAAAAGCTGTCTTAGGCATCCAGGAGATTATGGAGAATGGGATACACTACCATATATGAGAAAATGGCTCCCAAACCTGAAGGAACCCACTGAAGAAAAAACAAACTCAAAAGTCAACATGAAATGCTCCATATTCTTTTGAAGGCTTCTCTAAACACAGATTTCCTCATGGCTCCAACAGAAAAGAAAAGAAAAAAATATATATGGATATATAAGTGTGTGTATGTGTGTATGTGTATGTGTTTATATGTGTATGTATAAATAAAAGTCAACCAATGAGTCTGCTCTCATCTGTACTATGTTCCTCTGATAGCCAGGGAAATAGTGCTTCAGTTCTATGTTTCTACATCATAGCACAATTGGGAAATGGCTTAGAACCCAAGACTATTGGCAAAGCCATATGTATGAGTAACCAGTCCCTGCTTCCACTCACAAATTTCCAGAATACTGACTCAAATAATCTTGTAGAAGTCTTTCCCCCAATAACTCCTTTTTGGAAACATACATCCATGCAATTTAGCAGTTTTTAAAACTCATGCAACATACCCAGGTTTAAGAAGGTCACATATTCCTGGGAAGTCTCCAGGTTGTGGATGAACCATTACTAAGACACATGCACAGTTCAGTGACAGGTACAATTTAGATGGAACACATAGGAAGTAAAGGAGCTGAGAATCTACAGGAGCCAGAGGAAGGCTAGCTCATCTCATTTTAGCACTGGGAAGTCACGTTCATCCCTACCAGTTCATTGGCTTGCTACAGCAAGAGACATGCTAGCCTGAGAAAAGGCATCAGACTCAATCCCAGATTACTCTGCGGCCACTAGTCATTTGCTTTTGTGGTCAGCTCAGTCCATAATGTGAAATCCTTGCAATCTCCTCCTATTTCCAATCTGCAGTATAGGGTAAGCATTAAGTCACACCCCTCGGGTTCACATTTAAGCATGCAAAGCACACTACTCTGGGTAAAAACAGCATCTTGGACATGAAGTTCTCATGACTTAAGATGAGAATGGCCCTGAAAGGTTTTGTGAACCACACAGACATAAAGAATCAGTGGTGGCTAAAGATGTTGAACATACTGGATGGGAAGCACAGTTAGTACAGACTGAGGATCTGGGCTGGGGCCCAGCCCGCTGGCTCCTCTTGCTCACAGACATTCCACACTGCCTCAGGCCACTTACTGTTTGCTTACCTGCTCATGGTTGCTCGCCCACCATTCCCCATACTCTCTTTGGGGGTGAAACACTCTATTTCCGACTTGTTCTGGGCCAGTCTCCTGCCTTTGTACCTAATGAATCATGACAACGACAGGAGCAAAGAGAAAGAGGTGATTGTGTGCTGGGCAGCTGTGTGGTGGAAGAGCCAATGTGAAGAGGGATGCTTGAAAGAGGGCCCAGAATATAGGACTTTCCAAAGGCACCAGTCACCCCATATTAAAGTCTACAGTCCGAGAATACAGCAGGAAATCTCAGCCCAGCTCTCTCTTCTCACTCTAACAGTTACTGTCAGATATCTTTTTACATTATGCAAATATTCATTAAGTACCTGAAGGCATTGTGTCCTGGTTTTTTTTTTCTTTGATAGACCCTGGAATTTATATCATTGCTGTTTGGTTAAAACCTCATTAAATAAACTTAGTTTCAATGTCTCTTACTAATCACAAACAAAATCATCATTAACCTACATTTCCGGAGCTTATGTGGGGTATTATGTTGAGCATTTGAGACTCAATGAAGTCTAAGACAGATTCCTGGCTAAACCACAGTGCAACTGAAGCTTAGCCGGCAGTATAGAAGTGCCTAAACTGTTAAGAATGCATCTTGTAGGTTCTTTTATTTGAGAATATTGTATAATGCTCCTCTGAAGGTATTAACAACTTCATTTCAAAGACAAATTTCACCATGTAAAATCACTAGAAGACAAATTTTAATTTTTTAAACATCCTTAAATTCATATAACACTTTAAAGTTTTCAAAATATGGTCAAAAGTTACATCAAAGACCTTTTGCTGGTGTGGAGACTCTGTTGTATTGATTTATTAGTATGAGAGCTCCTACTGATGGAGAGAGGGACCCATTTAAAACAGAAAAGGGATTTGAACCCAGGTTTTCACAACGCTAATACAATACGCACTATACCAGAGATATCAAACACGTGACTCACATGCCTCATGTAAACTACAACTCTCCCAAGGATGACTGGAACCAGATTAAAATGTAATTGGGAAATTTTCAACAAAATAAACTAACCCCTCCCCCCAAAACAACATTGATAGCATTACATTTTAAAACTAAGCATACATGCAGCCCTGAGGGATCCTTACGTATGATTTAGTGGCATTTCTTTTATATTTTGACATGACTGCAGTGCACCATACTAACTCAGTCACCTATATTACCATATTTTTGGATTTCCACAACAACCCCATAAAGAAAATATGACATGTGCTCTTGTGTCCATGTCACAGAAATGAAGTGACTTCAGACCATGTAGAATTCTGATCTGGCTGAGATAATGAATGAGCAAATAATTTTCCTTCTCTCAGTGTTGGAAGTGATTGTCTGGTCCAATTCCTTACCTCAAGTGGTTATCTGGTCCAGTTTTCTACCTTCAGGGAGATAAAAGTAATATTTTCCCTACTTTATACATGAAGAGAACAAGGTCTCAAGAACTTGAGTAACATACACAGTGTCAACGAGAATTGAATGGCAGAACTAGTACTGGAATACAGGTCTTCTGAATCCTAATCCAACACTTCAAGACACTAGGATGAGCTTTCAAGATGCCAATTCTGACCAAACATGGAGTTAATATGAGTCTCGAATGCAACGTGCGTTTCTAATGAAGTAAGAAGTTCTTTTGATTATAGGACCTTTCCATTATCTCTTGTATGTGAAACAAGGTCAGGGATCCATTAAAATTTGATTGAAAAACTCATTTGTGCTTTCCAATGAGATATGGTTTGGCTGACTGTGAATCAGTAATAGCTACCTAATCATATTGGCTGTATATTCAGACCATCCAGTTTCTATTCATCCACTCTCACTGCCCTGTTCAAGGTAACAAATGATGCTTTAATAGCTGCAGGTTGCTGCCCATGCTTATGAATTTTGGCTTTTATTTAGCTGTAGGAAAGGTTAAGCTATCAGTTGATTATTTATAAATTTGAAGATAGTGAAAGAGCGGGAAATTTCTCTCTAAAGGGGTCAGGTTTACTTTGTTATTATTCTTCAAAGCGCCTTTTCCAAAGACAATAAGTTGTTATGCAAATAATCATGTCATTAATCATTGAAATATCCACGGAAATATGTAAGCAGCTGTGCAGATGTGGTAGAAGGCCTGGATTTGGAATCAGAAGACCTAGATTTGAGTCCAGGGCCTGTTACTATATAGCAGTAAGATCTTGGGCAAGCCACAAAAACTTTTAGTTTCTGCATCTATCAAATGGGGTTAACGACCTATCAATCTTACAAGGTCTTTTGAGTACCAAATGAACAAAAGTTTAGGGATAAGAGAGAGCTAAAAGTTTATCTGGTCCACTCTCTTCATTTTACAGATGAAGAAACTGAGGCCCAGACAGTGTAAAGTGATTTGCCCAAGGTCATATGGGTAATAACGGCAAATTTCAGATTCACACCTATACTCACTAATTCTAAACCCATTGTTTCCCACATAAGATGCTTTGTAAAAATCTCTAAAAATGTGGAATGTAAGCCTCTTGAGGGCATGGATGGACTTTACGTTTTTGTTTTTGTATCTTCTGTATCTATCAGAGCACCTTGTGCTGTAATAGGGCCTTAAAAAATTTGCTGAATTGAATTCAGTTAGATTTTATGTCTATTTTCAAGATAGTATATCTGTAATAACTTAGGAGGGGATAAAGTAATGTATAGAACATATTTTGAATGATGTCAGTGGATAACCTGGCTGTGGGACTCAGATATTGTGATTTATAGTTACAGCCTCTTGGTTGGGGAAGAATTCTATAATATGATTTACATATTAAGGAAACCTCTTAGAATTCCTCCCTTATTTACTTGCCAATGTCTCCATTACCTTTTGGTTGGGGCAATCAGGGACTAAGCCTTTCCTTTCATAATGAAGGCTGAGATTTAAAATGAAAATCCGCAAGTAGAAGGAGCATATTGACTTCAACTCATATCAGATATGAGAACAGATCCCTTTGAGGGAATAGATTTTGTTCAGGTGTGAAAAATGGGAAGGGAGGACAGGACAAAGCAGGACAGCACAAGGGGCCTGGATATTTAAAGAAGGGAAGGCCATTTTGGAATGAGGGCAGGGTCTTAGAAAGTACAAGTAGAGAGAACCAAAGATTTTTGTCCAATTCACAATTTTGTCTCAGCGTTGCCCTGCTCAAAACACTCACTGAAGACACTTGTTCCAATCAAACCTAAAGTGAGACCTAAAGTATTGGGAAAATACTTTTCTCCACTGTTTTCTATCCTATCACCCTCTTTCTCTTTAATTATGCAAACATGTTAAGGAAGAAGTTGCTCATCCTTCTGAACTCAAATAGGTAGTACATGGATAGAGCACTGGACCTGAATTCAGGGAGATGAGTTCAAATCTAACTTCAGAAATGTACTAGCTGTGTGACCCTGGGCAAGTCACTTAACTTCTACTTCAGTTGCCTCCTCTGTAAAATGGGCATGTTAATAAGCCCCTGCTTCTGAGGGTTGTTGTGAGTATTAGACGGTATAATATTTGTAAAGCACTTTGCAAACCTTAAAGTGCTATATAAATGTTAGTTGTTGTGTTTATTATTATTATTGTTACTATTTTATCATCATGTGACTGTTCACTAGATACTTTTATGTTGAGGCATGCTCACGTATTGTAATTGCTGTTGTTATGTCATAGAAATATATGTATTATATAACATGTTATTATGTTATTATTACTACTACTAATGTAAGGACGCTCATGCTGATATTGGTAATAATGATGAGATAGCAAGGTTTGATATATAGAATACTGCACATAAATTTAGTGGAATTTTGAATTTTGACACTGACATATTGTCCATGAGCAAATTACTTCATCTTTCCAAGTCTCAGTTTCCTTATTTGCAATAAAGGAGGTAATATAGCTTATACTACCTGCCTCACAGATTTCTTGTAAAAAAAGCACCTTGGAAACCTTAAAATATTATACAAATTACATTATTTACTAAGAGTGACAAATTGAAGTCAGCAGACCTAGGTCACTTGTGTGACCCGGGCAAGTATTTGTTCAAGTTACTTCATTTCTTTGGTTCCTAGTGCCTTCTGCTGGAAAATGAGAGGATTGGATTAGATGATCTCTAAGCTCCCTTCAGATATTAAATCTATGTTCCTGAAATCTATGAGAATAATGATATTAATGCAGGTGGAGATCTGTATTGGTAGAAGAGTTTCCTCATTTGGAATTCCCTATGTCAATGAAATAATTGTTACAGTCCAAAACAACAACAACCACAAAATCTCATATTTATATAGTAAATGTCTTTTTAGTGATCCTGTAAATTAAGTAGCATTTTAAAATGCTGGGAGTTATTTCTCTACTTGTATGGAAACCACAGTAAAACTGTTCTGACTTGTTCAATTATGTGGAACACATTCAATGGAGTGTAAGCTCCTTGAGAACAGGGATTGTTTTTAATTTCTGTCTTCTTATCGCCAGTCATTATCATAGTGCCTTGCACCTAAGTAGGTAAATAGTATGTGAATTTTGAATCAGAAAAAAGATGGAGTGCTTAAAGAGTCAGCACAAAGAAAAAAATGAGAAATTGTTTGGAACACTGATTGAATGTAGGATTTTAAGAGATTAATTGTAAAGGTGGCATGATGACAAAGGAGGGGGAATGATGATTTGTTTGTGTTTGGTAACGAAACTTTATTTGGACAGGATTATCCTAAAGGAGTCAGGCTAAAGATGTAAATAATTGTGTCTCTTCCAGCAAACTTTACACCCCCATCATCACTCCTACGCGTGCGCGCGCGCGCACACACACACACACACACACACACACTCACTCACTCACATTTTTGCCAGTAATGAATGAGAGAATGCAGTAGCAGAGAGAATCTGCAGGAAAATGGTTCCCTTCTGGTAAAGAAGATGCAGGGACTTCATGTCCCTGGATCAAGAGACCAAAGTCAAAGACAAGGTTCTTTAATAAGAGCAATTAGAGCTAACAACAGGATATTAATGCCAATAGCAGTAGAAAGCACTCTTAGAGTTTTTAACGTCTAAACTATGGTCTAGAATGAGGAGCGTTAGCTTGAT